TATCAAATATTTGATCCTTATCTATATCTATTTTGTGACATAATTTAGGAAAGACTAGTTGATTCAGAGAATCTTTAAGAGATTACACTATTTCATCAATATCATTTATATTTTTATCTAAATATTCTGTTTCTAAAGTATTAAGTTCGTCCACTTTATTTGGAGTTGCATTATTTGGAGGATTTTTATTTGGAGTTGCATTATTTGGAGGATCTTTATTTGGAGTTGCATTATTTGGTAAAGTATTAATTTCGTCCAATTTGTTTGTAGTTGCATCCACCACTACTAAATTATTTTTATTTAAATTTGTGTTGATTTTTTGTGAATTATTATCACAATTTATAATTTCAAATAGTTTATACCTGTCCGTTTCATAGCAAATATCTTCTGTATATTTAGTTTTAAAATTTTTGAATTCCGATATGTTTTTATTTAATAAAGAAGACTATTCCTTCTTTATTATTTCCTTTTGATTTATTTATTTTTGTAACTTCACAACAAGAAAGTATTGTTTCTCTGACTGGACTTTATTTAAATGGAATTTCAAAATCATCACCTATTAACTTTTGTTGAGTCAAGTTTATAATCAAGTTCAAGTTTATCAAATTGTTTGAACCTAATATACCATCAAAAAATGTGTGAAAATCGTAGACAAAGTCTATGTATTTATTATCAGAATTAAACTCTGCAAACGCTGGCACTAAGGCCTGGTAGTCGATCCACCTACTCCCCATGCTAGTCGATAAGATAAGTTCTGAATGGTAAATTGTTTGCGGAAAATATTTTTTTATTACTGAAGGTTTTATTATTGACCTACAAGATGCCGTATCAACTAGCAGTTTGAGCTTGGGTTCGCGTATTTCTATATAAGGCAATGCATTGTTTGAAATATTATGCAATTCTACTTTGTTTCTCTTTGTTTTCAATGAGGCTGGTACCTGAAAATTTTGTTCAAAGTCACCTTTTTTAATAGATTAATTTTCAAATTTGATTTGATTAGGATTTTCAAAATTAGTATGATCATAATCATGCTTATTTAAATTAGCATCATTGCAAAAATTAGAATGTAATTCTTCAAAAGTAAAATTTGGTCTTGAATTATAATTTTGGAAATTTCTGTTATTATAAAATTGTCTTTTTGATTGGAAAGAAGGGTTTCTTGATGTCGTTGACATCGGTTCTGGTTTAGACAATTGGCTTTCTGGAATTTGATTTGGCTTGAAAACATTTTTTTGTCTTAGTGGTCCAAAAACTTGTTGATTAGTAAAATATTTTTTATTTAATTGTGGCATTGGTTGTACATTTATAGGTTGACAAGGAAAATTATTAAAATTAGTTTTGTATTGATTATGTACTGGATTTTAATTAAAATTTCTTTGATAATAATTTTGATTTATGTAATGGGAATTTTCAAAATTATTTCTGGGGTAATTATTTGATTATTTTGATGAAAATTTGGTTTATAAAAATCATAATTAAGATTCATATTATTAGCATTTCGATTCATATAGGAATTATTATTATTTCTTTGAAAATTTTGAAAATGTCCAGTGTTTTGTTTATTATAAAAATTTGAATTTTGTTTTGACATGTTTCTTTCGTATGAATTATTATTATACAAGGTTTCAAAATTTTCAAATTCAGAAACATAAGCAACAGCTTCTTCTAGCGACTCTGGCTTTTTCAAATGCATATTATTTTTTAGTGTTCCCGTACATCCTGCAACGAATGTATTTAGAGCAGTTTTAGCATAATAATTACTTTGAATTTGTTTTTCCATTGGGGTTAAATTTGGATCATTACTTATTCTCTGAATAACACTGCTTCTTAACAACTGTAATCTACTCGCAAAATTTATTAAATGTTCACCTTTTAGGGGTTTGCTACGCGTTAATTCTTGCACTAAGCAATCTAAATCTCTTCGATCAGAGAAACATTGTAATAAAGCATTTTTTAAACCTATCCATGTATTAATTTCAATTCTGTTTCCTACCATTATCTCAGCTTTTCCTACTAATTTTTCTTGGATACATTCTATTATATGTGCATCCAATTCTGGGTTATTATATGTTCTATATGTATCAATCAAACTTTCGCATCTATTTATAAATTTGTTTAGTGAATTACTATCACCATCAAAAGTTTTTGTTATCTATTTTGGACTTAAAAAGGTCCCAATTCACTTGTCTACGTTCAACTACTGGAGGTGTCATGATTAAATTACTTTCTACACTATCCAATCTAATTTATTATCTTGTAACGATATATTTGCAAATTGCTTAAACAAAGTATCAATTTATGATTCACTCATAAAATATAATCAAAATAAAATAAAAAATAGTTTCAAAATTATATAATAATATAATCTTTTTAATATCAATGTTTAATTTAAGGGTATTAAAGGAAAGGGAAATTAAAGGATATTTGGCACTATTTTCTTCAATTGCTTTCTAATTGTCGTTTCGGATGTCCCACTATGGGCTGATGTCCAATAATCGACTATTCTTCCGAACGACGATTCTTCTACTTGGAAAGTCAGACTGTCGCCACAAAAGGGACGACTTCCACCAATTCTTCGTTAGGAACCACACTTGAGGAATTAAAATTCCAAAGTCACGAAAATTTAGTATTCGGCCCGGCAACAGCGAACTCGATTAAACTTTTTCACGACTCGCGTGTATCCTACTGACTGCGCCAGTTATAAATTCCAAAATGGAACTTTTATTTTTAAAATTTTTATTAAGTATAAAATACACTTAAATGGATATCTGTACTACAGCTACTTCAAATAACGGCTTCAAATAACAACAATAATAAGGTTCTACTCCTATTTATAAAGTAAAACTGATTATTAATCAAAGATAATATATAAAAGAGTCTATTATATTCTCAATATATAACTCTCCTGTAGGCAAAAATTAAATATATTGTTCTCTTTTAGCATTTTTTAACATTTCTATTTCTTTTCGTTCCTTTTCTTAGATTTTTTCAAAAGAGACTGATTCATATTTTTAAAGTAAATCCAGAGAGGTATGGGTTAAGCCTTTACCTGTACTTACATAAAACTTATTTTAGTAAAATTAAAAAATAATCCGTATTATTTTTGACTATTTTTAAAATAATTTTTAAAAGTGGGGTACTACGAAACCCTTACATTGCAAGATTTTTCGTCTGGAAAGTGGCGCCTCTGTTAGATTTTTAAGAAATTAATTTTTGAGAATGAAAACAATGTATAATATATTTTACTGATGTTTTACGAGGGATGAATAAATTTTACGTATTTGTAAACCTCATTTTTTACGTATTATATGCAAGGGTTTCATAGTACACCAATTTTACGGACTATTTTTTAATTTTACTAAAATAAGTTTTATGTAAGTACAGGTAAAGGCTTAACCCATACCTCTCTGGATTTACTTTAAAAATATGAATCAGTCTCTTTTGAAAAAATCTAAGAAAAGGAACGAAAAGAAATAGAAATGTTAAAAAATGCTAAAAGAGAACAATATATTTAATTTTTGCCTACAGGAGAGTTATATATTGAGAATATAATAGACTCTTTTATATATTATCTTTGATTAATAATCAGTTTTACTTTATAAATAGGAGTAGAACCTTATTATTGTTGTTATTTGAAGCCGTTATTTGAAGTAGCTGTAGTACAGATATCCATTTAAGTGTATTTTATACTTAATAAAAATTTTAAAAATAAAAGTTCCATTTTGGAATTTATAACTGGCGCAGTCACTAGGATACACGCGAGTCGTGAAAAAGTTTAATCGAGTTCGCTGTTGCCGGGCCGAATACTAAATTTTCGTGACTTTGGAATTTTAATTCCTCAAGTGTCATTCATATTTCTAAAGTAAATCCAGAGAGGTATGGGTTAAGCCTTTACCTGTACTTACATAAAACTTATTTTAGTAAAATTAAAAAATAGTCCGTAAAATTGGTGTACTATGAAACCCTTGCATATAATACGTAAAAAATGAGGTTTACAAATACGTAGAATTTATTCATCCCTCCTAAAACATCAGTAAAATATATTATAAATTGTTTTCATTCTCAAAAATTAATTTCTTAAAAATCTAACAGAGGCGCCACTTTCCAGACGAAAAATCTTGCAATGTAAGGGTTTCATAGTACCCCCCACTTTTAAAAATTATTTTTGACTATTTTTAAAATAAAAAAAAATTTTGTGTAGGTAAAGGTTAAATTTATGCTCCTCTGGAACCACTTTTTCAAAATTCAATTTAGTTTTTTCTAAAAACAATTGAGAAAATGGGTAAAAAAGTCGAATTTTGTATTTTTTTTTTTTTAGAAAAAACAGTTTCAAATTTAAAAAAAGTATTTCAAGAGAAGCATAGATTTATCCGTTACCTACACGCACATATTTTTTTCTTTCAGAATAAGTCAAAAATAAACTTTAAAAGTGGAGTACTACGAAACTCTTGCATGCTCCGCTCTACAGCCAAGTAAATACTCCTCTTAAATGTTCATCTCTAAGATTCAGATTAATCTACATTTTCTTTTAAAATACAGATTAGCTTTATAATAACCTTTCTAATAAAATTTTCTAATGAAAATAGGTGTGTGCAAAAAGTAACTTTCCGCCTATATGCGGCAATAATCTCAAACTATGACAATTCAGGGAAAACGTCAACTCTCCAGTTAAATTTGAATGTGCAAAAGCCTACTTTGGATAGTGATCGTAGAAAAACAAAATTACAAAACCTGAGAATAAGGTGTAAATTGAAATATGATTATTAAGGTTGTATTCGGTTGGATATTTTAAATCTATCAACATAATTATCAACTCTACTTATTTTACAAATACTGAATATTATTTTCAACTTTCTTTTAAAGCAATTTAATAAAAATAAGATAAAGAGATATTACATAAATTTTCCAAATAGTTGTCAGTTCAGTGTTTCGAATGCATATTTTTCGAACAGTTTTAAACCTCGATCATTACATCATTTTCAACTGGATTTTTTTTTCAGACTACAACATTCGCCAATATGTCTAGAGAATTTTCTAAAAAGTACCTCTCACTAAGGACCATTCAAATTCTGAGAACATATTCAACTGATCGACCGTATTCAACAGCTATTGGTGTTTTGCAAGAAATTGAGAAAAAAAATGATTTCGATTACAAAATTGAAAACATGGAAACAATTCCTAAGGATTATAGTGAAATTCCGGGTCCTAGAGAACTACCATTTATTGGAAATGCCTGGAGGTTTGCACCTATTATTGGTAAGATGTTTATTGATTTGTGATATTGTAAAAGCATACATGAATATTAGAGGACGAAAAAATGTTTTAAAAAATACTTTAATTACTATTTATTATAATAATAAAAATAATGTTAGATTTCACTGGTTTAAAGAGTTCTATACTAAAAATTTGTTAATAAACTTGCTTAGAATAATTATTGATTATCCACAATTGATCGAATTTTTTAAAACAATTTAATATCGAAAAATCTTAATGTGTCCAACACATGACTTTCCTGTCTAGTTATTACCGGCGTTTTCTACAACCTATTGTATCACCTATGTAAATGTTTAGAGAATGAACTAATTATATACATTTTCCATACACATCTTACTCGAAACATTTTTTATTTATATTCATTGCCAACGAAAATACTGAAAAATTAAAATTTTATACTTTTTCTCAGTTATTTTCATCACAGTCCAATTTACGAAATCATATGAGGGGGTCAGTACTTACATGGTACTAAATTTTTGTTATGAGTAATTAAGTAAAGAAGATAACCATGAATACAAAATTATTAGGTACGTTATAACGTAACGTATGTATATAAAACTTTGGGAGAGATTATTTTCTTTGATTAAAAAATATATATTTTTATTAATATTTAAAACTTAAATGAGTACTACAATAAAATCAATAAAATCAATAAAATAAAATTCCATCTGAACGAACTTTCAGAGGTTTGTGATCTTTTCAACAATGAAGAACTTGATTTAAGTCACAGTAAAAAACTAAATCAATTTTGAAAAATTCCCAAAACTTTAGAAAATTATTTAACTTGAGTTAGTATTTAAATATTATCACCGAACATTATCTCCAGTATTGCTTGACGTTTCTCAGTGCCTCTCTGACGGATGTTATTGTTTTCAGTTTCATCACACACATAATCGGAGTCTCCCGGACTTTCCATTTCATCTAATGCAAACTCAAAATCATCTCGTAGATGCTTGCTAATATTATGTAAAACAGCACAACAAACAATAATTTTTGGAACTTTTGACAAAGATGTTTTAACCTTGTGTCCCAGAATAGGAAACCTTTGCTTTAGTTGTCCAAAAACTCTCTCAATTACGACTCTTTCCCTGGAGTGAGTGATATTGAATAATTCTTCAATTCGGTTTTGAGGATTTTTAAAAGGTGTTAAGAGCCAAGGAGTAATTCCATATCCACTGTCTCCCAGAAGGCAGAAATTACCCCGAAATCTTGTCACATTTTCATATTCCATATTCTGGAATCGTGAACACTTCCAGGCCATTGAGCGTCTACACTTGTAATCAATTCATTAGCATCACAAGTTACTTGCACATTTCTACTAGCAAATCCTTTTCTGTTAATAAAATCATCGCCAAATTCTGGTGGTTTTTTAATTTGAACATGCGTGCAATCTACAGCACCAATGACTGTAGGAATTTGGAATCGATTCGACCATTTAATTCTTGCTTCTTCCATGGCATCTAGATTAGATGGAAACTGTATCCAGTGGTAGGCCTTTTCGAAGATACAATCAGCTACTGTACTTATTGTTTTGCATACTGTAGTATGATGAACGCCAAAATCTTCAGCAATACCTGTTTGAAATCCGGTATCACTAACATGTCGTAGGAATATCTCCATCTTTTGCCGAGCTTCAAGTGCACCTCCTCTGGATTCATCTATCTCTGGTAAAAAATAATCCGAAATATAATCTACACTTTCACTTTCAAAACGCAACAAGAGCTTAGATTTGCTTGGGCTGATGCTTCTTCTCTTCCTGTAGTTCTTCCTGTTACGAACATTTATGAAGTCCACCATGTTTAACAAAGTATACTAGCAACTACCGTCGAGAAAAAAGTATGCTTTATAGCTACCTTAAAAATATTCAAGTTATAACTGACTAATTTAAGGCAGATCTTATTTTTATTCAAATAAAAATAGGTCAGTACTAGAAAAATAAAAGTAAATCCTTATATTTTAAGTAACTACTTGAAACCATAAGAGTTTGCTTATGGCCATAAGTAATCTCTTTTACATGAAGTAGTCACTGACGTTTTATTCAATTTATACTGAGAAAATACTTAAATAAGAGGAAGTAGAAGCCAATACTTCTTTTTATTCATTAGACCCAATATATTTCTTTTAATTTTCTACTTTAGCAACCTCTATTTGGTTTAATCATCTCATTTTTAAATAGATTATCTTTAGTTGTTCTGTCTTACATTCTTAATAAGAATCAATTGGTTTTAGTTCCTTCATTCATGTTGATTTACTCGTACATTTTTGTTTTATTTCAACCCTTATTAAACTCTTTATTTTTACTCAGATTTTTCTGCAAAATCAATGTTCTGTTCCCCTTATAGAGCTTGATTTTGCTAAACTTTTCATTTCATTTGTATACTATTTGGGTACTATTTTGGTACTATTTTGGTACTATTTTGGTACTATTTTGGTACTATTTTGGTACTATTTTGGTACTATTTTGGTACTATTTTGGTACTATTTTGGTACTATTTTGGTACTATTTTGGTACTATTTTTGTACTATTTTTGTACTATTTTTGTACTATTTTTGTACTATTTTTGTACTATTTTTGTACTATTTTTGTACTATTTTTGTACTATTTTTGTACTATTTTTGTACTATTTTTGTACTATTTTTGTACTATTTTTGTACTATTTTTGTACTATTTTTGTACTATTTTTGTACTATTTTTGTACTATTTTTGTACTATTTTTGTACTATTTTTGTACTATTTTTGTACTATTTTTGTACTATTTTTGTACTATTTTTGTACTATTTTTGTACTATTTTTGTACTATTTTTGTACTATTTTTGTACTATTTTTGTACTATTTTTGTACTATTTTTGTACTATTTTTGTACTATTTTTGTACTATTTTTGTACTATTTTTGTACTATTTTTGTACTATTTTTGTACTATTTTTGTACTATTTTTGTACTATTTTTGTACTATTTTTGTACTATTTTTGTACTATTTTTGTACTATTTTTGTACTATTTTTGTACTATTTTTGTACTATTTTTGTACTATTTTTGTACTATTTTTGTACTATTTTTGTACTATTTTTGTACTATTTTTGTACTATTTTTGTACTATTTTTGTACTATTTTTGTACTATTTTTGTACTATTTGTATACTATTTTTGTACTATTTTTTTACTATTTGTGTACTATTTGTGTATTATTTATGTACTACTTGTTTACTATTTGTGTACCATTTGTGTACTATTTATGTACTATTTGTGTACTATTTGTGTACTATGTGTGTACTATTTGTGTACTATTTGTGTACTATTTGTGTACTATTTGTGTACTATTTGTGTACTATTTGTGTACTATTTGTGTACTATTTGTGTACTATTTGTGTACTATTTGTGTACTATTTGTGTACTATTTGTGTACTATTTGTGTACTATTTGTGTACTATTTGTGTACTATTTGTGTACTATTTGTGTACTATTTGTGTACTATTTGTGTACTATTTGTGTACTATTTGTGTACTATTTGTGTACTATTTGTGTACTATTTGTGTACTATTTGTGTACTATTTGTGTACTATTTGTGTACTATTTATGTACTATTTGTTTACTATTTGTGTACTATTTGTGTACTATTTGTGTACTATTTGTGTACTATTTGTGTACTATTTGTGTACTATTTGTGTACTATTTGTGTACTATTTGTGTACTATTTGTGTACTATTTGTGTACTATTTGTGTACTATTTGTGTACTATTTGTGTACTATTTGTGTACTATTTGTGTACTATTTGTGTACTATTTGTGTACTATTTGTGTACTATTTGTGTACTATTTGTGTACTATTTGTGTACTATTTGTGTACTATTTGTGTACTATTTGTGTACTATTTGTGTACTATTTGTGTACTATTTGTGTACTATTTGTGTACTATTTGTGTACTATTTGTGTACTATTTGTGTACTATTTGTGTACTATTTGTGTACTATTTGTAAACTATTTGTGTACTATTTGTGTACTATTTGTGTACTATTTGTGTACTATTTGTGTACTATTTGTGTACTATTTGTGTACTATTCGTGTACTATTCGTGTACTATTTGTGTACTATTTGTGTACTATTTGTGTACTATTCGTGTACTATTCGTGTACTATTTATGTACTATTTGTGTACTATTTGTGTACTATTTGTGTACTATTTGTGTACTATTTGTGTACTATTTGTGTACTATTTGTGTACTATTTGTGTACTATTTGTGTACTATTTGTGTACTATTTGTGTACTATTTGTGTACTATTTGTGTACTATTTGTGTACTATTTGTGTACTATTTGTGTACTATTTGTGTACTATTTGTTTACTATTTGTGTACTATTTGTGTACTATTTGTGTACTATTTGTGTACTATTTGTGTACTATTTGTGTACTATTTGTGTACTATTTGTGTACTATTTGTGTACTATTTGTGTACTATTTGTGTACTATTTGTGTACTATTTGTGTACTATTTGTGTACTATTTGTGTACTATTTGTGTACTATTTGTGTACTATTTGTGTACTATTTGTGTACTATTTGTGTACTATTTGTGTACTATTTGTGTACTATTTGTGTACTATTTGTGTACTATTTGTTTACTATTTGTGTACTATTTGTGTACTATTTGTGTACTATTTGTGTACTATTTGTGTACTATTTGTGTACTATTTGTGTACTATTTGTGTACTATTTGTGTACTATTTGTGTACTATTTGTGTACTATTTGTGTACTATTTGTGTACTTGTGCAAAAGGGTACTTTACTCTTGAGCCTAATATGAGTTTAGGTTAGTTTCCATAGGAACGGCAGGGGTACAAAATCTGAAAATGTATATTTTAGCGGTACAAATTATGTTACTTTTATTGCAGGAGTAACTATTGATTCTGCTCGTGCAAAAGGGTACTTTACTCTAGAGAATAATTTGAGTTTAGGTTAGGTTCTATAGGAACGGCAGGGGTACAAAATCTG